CACATGGTAATTCGACACTTGCTTTTTTTTCTGTTTTTCGTGTCTTCAAGCACATAGACAGAAACACAGCTCTCTCTCTCACACACACACACACAGCACGAAGGAAACAACACGTAGCTTTTCGCTATGTTCTTATACAGCTTCAGACATATCAATATACACATTCCCGTGTGGGTTCTAGGTCCGCATTATGGGGAAAACCAGAACAGACCATCTGCCTCCCCAGTAAGCATGTCGTAGGTGTTGACTAGCTGGGGACTTCAGAGTGCATCTACCCGAGCGGCAAGGAACAATCACCTGCACACAAATAAGCCAGTACAACGAACGAACAAGCAAAACTCAGGCTCTGGCACAAAGCCAATGTCCAAATAGACGAACATCCAGGACTTTCCACCGGAGCTTACAACCGGTGAATAAAAGAAGAATACATACATATACAAGTGCACGCACACATACACAGCAGGAATGAAATTTGTAAATCCACCCATCCTTCCATTCATCTACCAATTACGTATACACAGATACTACGCAACGAAGTAATCGGAAACGTTGAATCGACTGTGCCACGTAGTTCTATAATGTCAACTTTCAGGTATCACGTAAACAGTACGTTGTGACATTTTCATATGTGGTTGATTGGCTGTTTTTCTTATGTGACACTCTCTCTCTCGCTCTCCCTGTCCCTCCGTCTCTCTCTCTCTCTCTCTCTCTCTCTCTATATATATATATATATATATATATATATATATATATATATATATATATATAAATATATATATATATATACATACATATATATATATAAATTATAGCAGAAGGCATGGTACCAGGAAGGAGGGGCAGAGGCCGACCGACACGAAGATGGGCACAGGATATAAGTGACTCCTTGAGTGTGAAAGTTCATGAGGCGGTAGAACTGGCAAATGACCTAGTTTCTTACAGGCAGACTGTGATGATATCGACGTTCTGCAAAGGACCTGCTACATGATGATGATGATATATATATAAAACATTCTCTCTCCCTGCTCTCTTTCTCTCTATCCAACCCATTTCCCCATTTGTTCTATTCCCGTTCTCACTTTCTTCCTCCTGTCTCTTCCCCACCCATATCTTTCTCTCTTACCCTCACCCCCTGTCTGTCTACCCCTCTCTCTCTCTTCCCTCTCTTATTCTGTCTCTCGATCGCTGTATCACTCCGTAGCCTTCTATCTCCTGCGCTTTCATTTATTTCTGTCACAGATGAATATCCATAATACGAAACGATGAGTATCCTGTCGCCTGGTCTCCAACTTCCTTTCTTGCCATCAAGCTTTCTCCTTGTCATTTTCTTGTTGTACTCCACTTCCCTCTTTCTGACTGTGTCACCAAAAAATGTGTTTTTATCATAAGGTTAATTAGTTGTCTTCGTAAGCTCCACCCCCACCCCCTCCCCCCATTTGCCCATAATGTTAACATAATTCTCGTCACATTCTGCAGCTGCAGCAGCAGCACCCCCCCCCCCTTTTCCCATTAATCCACAGACTACCTATGATTCTTATTCTTCGTTCTTATTCGTGTTTACCGGCTATAAACCCCTGGGGGAAGTTCTGAAGTTGTTCGTCCACCGCTGTTTCAGAACCTGTGTGTTGCATGGCATCCGTTTTACAGATGTAACTTATCTGTATGCAAACGGAGGCTTCCTCGCCTCTCAGACAAATGCAGTCTGACGTGGAAGAAAGCCACCAGTTAGCTAGCTCTTACGACATGCTTTTATAGAGGCAGTGGGTCTATTCTTGTATCCCCCAAAATGGGTCCCCTGTACCCACACGAGGAGTCAATGATTCACTTCTCTATATTCAGAGTTAATCTATACAGTATTCTAGAACTGTTCTGCCTAAACAAAGTACAAATGCCTAAACCGAGGATAGATCTGTACAAAACAAACTTAGCGAGCTTCGCAGCTCATTTGGGTAACTGTCCTCCATAAAAAAAAAAAAAAAAACCGATCATAAATATTCAAATAGGCATACCTGTGTGTCCAAAATTCTATCCCTTCAAAATAAAGCTTATTTGTGCAGTCGTTTTCCTTCATAAATAAACAAAGAGAGAATGCACAGAATATCCTTAAATCTGTGATACTATGCATTAAAAAAAGTAATGATATTATGCTTTTGACTTATTTAACAGCCACCAATTGCTATTATCTAGGTTATTAAGTAGTTTACCCTTCTTTAAAATTCTACCTTTAGAAACTAGAAGAAGAAAAAGCCAAAGAATTTTTGGACTTCAGTCAGTCTGTATATATGAAGGGTTTCAAACTCCAGGACCACCAGTATCCGGGCATTAGTGATGACATCAGACCACTGAACACAAATTTAGACAATGCTTCGTGTCACTAGTCGGCTCTGTGGCTGAGTCGATGCGAACGCTTTGCTTCGTAATGCCGGGATGCCAGGCTCGATCCCAGCTGCGGGCAATGCCCCTTGCGTTGGTTTCGACAGTGGTATCAAGAAAGCCGACCGTCCAGGAAATGGCAAACTACTGGATGTAACTTGCCTAGAGAAACCACACAACAGCCAGGGCTGTTAGGGTTGGTTCTGCAACGTCCTGTAAAGGATACGCAACTAACTTCCCCCCCCCCCCCCTCTTTAATCACTAAACGTCTAAATTAGGAAATAATTTATTATTTCAAGGGAAACAATCATTAAATATATAATGGGCAAAGATTTAAACGCTTTACTCCCCATTGAATATTTTAACGCACAAATTTAGAAAAGAAGGTAAAAGGCGTATAGAGGTAAAAAGCCAGGAAAACACTATAAGCGACAGTCCCATTCTCTTGCATTGGTTATACGAGGGTAAATCAAACAATTACTACACTTTTCACATAACTCTTCTTAAATTATGCACACTGGCTTCTGTCCTCTTTTATTTTATTGTTAAACTGTTATGGCGATGCAATGAACGCTTGATCCCCATACCGCATATTTCTTCCTTCTATTGCAGTTAGATCATGGCCGCTCCATTAGAAGTGTGCACGAAAGAGATGATTCCTTCAGTCCGAGGGTGTTGGGTGTCGAAGGCTCAGCAATTCTTCGTAGACTATCATCGCAATATAGGGGAAGTGCACAACCACGTAATAACCTGTGTTTATTTGGATCGAGACGTTTTGATGATGTCGCCAATTTGCCTCAGACTTAGACCTGCAAAATAAAGTTTAAACAACGGATCAACATCATGGCACCCATAAGTGATCCGTTCTTCTTCTTAAGAATGTCTGAGTTAGATCTGCTTTCGTTGAATGGCTCTTTTAAAGATCCAAAATATTAAATGAAAAATGGGTACTGCATAAGTTCTTCTTCTAAATCAAGTTTTAGTCCTAAAAAGCTCAACACAGTGCACAGGCTCTATAGCACCAGCGAGGATCCTGAAATACTTTGGGTAGATTCTTAACTCTAAATTTTTCCTAGGCAGTGGCCGTTAGGCTACTCTTTTCGATTTACAGCTGATAAGGAATTTTTCACATGCGTAACAATACACACGGGCGTCCGAACTCACTACCCAGAGATCAGGGGGAAATACTAGAAGTCCAAGTCCCGTGAAAAAAATCCTAGCCCTTAACGGGGATTGACCTCAGCACCTCTAGCACTCGAGACGGACACCATGCTTTGAGACCAAACACCTCTCACAGACTTGCAAAATGAGGCCCTAAAGTGGTTTCACGACCAACCGTAAACTTTTCATGTTAAAGGAATAAGTAAGCTTGTTGACCGTTGGACAAAGTGCGTTGATTTAGAGGGAGACTACTTAGGAAAATGATGTCCATAGTGAAACCCGAGCTTCATGTAAATAAATTATAAATGGAATGTGTAGATAATGTTTGACTGTCTCTCGTTTGTTGTCTCAGAGCGTGCTGGTCTATCTCGTGAGGTTATCCCCATATTTATGTCGCTGTCAACATGTTGCTTGTTTGCCTGTATTCAACGTTTACATTATTTTTGTTTAAAATTAGAATTATTTATCTCCAGTGTTGCCGAAATATTTTAGTTACTTCCTTTTTTGTGTGTGAGTGCACTAAACTGTTTTCGGCGTCCGTTGCTTAGGCTGTGTGGTCGAGCTTCACAGCTCCAAGTTAACGAGTTCAATCCTAGCTTCGGGCACATCAACAGATCGTCTTGCGTTGTTTTCAACAGTGGTAAAGACAGCTGCCCGTTCAGTAAGCACTTGTAAAGGATACATAACTAACTAGCTTAACTGTCGTTCTGAAAAGAAAAAAAAAATACCTTTCTTTATCGTGTTTTACCCCCACCAATGTGCCACCATGTGGATGAGGATCACCCGTGGAGAGGTCCCAGGAACCGCGTTCAGCCATTAGACCATATTTATGGCCAGGCTATATTGCGGCCCCTGGCAAGAGGCAGAGTAGGGCTTCAAAAATGAAAATTGCATCCCACAAAGGGATGACAATATAATTAATATGGTAAAAAATAATAATTGGAAACCAGTTTTTTTAACATACATATAGAAAGGGGAAATAATTTGTTTTGAAATTTTGCAAGGGAAATAAGTCTAAATAAATCTAAAAAATAATGTTTGAATCGTTAATTGCAAATCTTAATAGATTTGTAAATTTCTTTGAATTTTGTTTATGCAATGCACATATTAAAATATAATTTAAAGTTTTTATTGAATTTTTGTTTTATAAATACCTATTTACACTTATGTAATTATGTTAAACGTAAAGCGTTTTCTGTTTAAGGAAACCTGATTTATATACTAAAAGTGCTACGATATTCGTCGAACCAACAGTCTAGCAAATAAGTTAGATCTGCTTTCTTTGAATGGCTCTTTTTAAGAGCTAACATTTTAAATGAAATATGAGTCTTGTGTATGTTAAATAGATACAGTACGAAGGTTAAGTTAAGAAAGTCTGTTCACAATACAGTTTAGAGATTGAATTATACTCAGTTAATAATAACATCTTTTTGTTTGTACCAAATAGCATCTTGTTTATTGCTCAGAGAAGAATTTTGCCCAAGCCTACAAGGAACAGCAAGAGGGTGAACAAGCAAAAGAGACCAACAAGCCGTACACTGACAGCGTACATGAGGCTATTTTGGAGGATTTGTGCTTTCCTGCTGAGATTGTTGGCAAACGTGTACGAGTCAAGTTGGATGGTTCCAAGGTTATCAATATTCATTTGGATAAAAGCCAGCAAAACAATGTTGAGCACAAGTTGGAGACATTCACATCTGTTTACAAGAAGTTGACTGGCAAAGATGTGACTTTTGAGTTCCCTGAATTTGTATTGTAGGGATGAACTAGAGAAAAAAGTGCCTGCTAAAAAAAAAAAAAAAAAAAATAGCAACTTGTTATGACACAACAACTACTCCAATTCATCTAAATAATAGAGTGAGGTCAATGTGCATTCATCATCACCATCAATGGGCTTGTCCGTTAATGAACAACGCTCTCTTCCCGGCACGCCTAGCCTCATTTTTGTAAAGCCAGTTCTCTAGTCCTTTGTGCTCTTACAGCCAGTGCATCTTCAATGTCTTGTATCAAAGTTCTGCATCATTTTCCAAAACCTGCACTCTACACAACTGTTTCTTCCAGACCAACACGACGCTTGACATGTTCAAAATACCCCCAGCTTTCGGGAGAGGATGCTGTTTACCAGCCAGTTTTCCTTGATGTTCAGGTCATGCAGGATGTTGATGTTTTTCCTCTTCTTCTTGGTCTACGATATTCTAAGAATCTTTCTGTAGCATTGTAGTCTTTTATAAATACTGAATGAAAGTCCACGAATCACATCCACAAGTTGCCACCGGAATGATGCATCATCTCAGATGCCCAGAATGTTGTTTTACTTGCCTGAGGGCGTAAGGCTGCCAATACTTGGGTTTCCCCCAAGATCTGGGTTTTTATCTGGTAGTCTGGTCTGGTAGTCTTAGTTTCAGCTTCATAGCAAACGGGTCGCCCCATCTTTGCTCCGCTCCTGTGCCAGCGAAAAACACCCAGAATGTTTATCAGTCCCTTGTGGAAAGATTGACAGACTGCTGTCTCAGCATATCTAGCATACACTCGCATTAACGCATATGGTAGCCATCCGAAGTGCTAACACAAACAGTCCAACATTAGAAATGTAGTTCATCATTGATGATAGCAGAACTTGTCGCCAACAGATCAGCAGTTGCCCGGGCGATCAATTTTAATACGGGTCCCGCCAGCATTGCACGACCGGCATCGCGCCATTTTCTGAATCTACAATTCACACCACGTTGGTCACAGTCGAAAAAACATTCCAAATGCAATCCGCAGCTCACAGGGTCACGCCATGCATTCAACCCAGAAGCTGGGCGACGAAACTATATCCAGTCTACAAATGGAGCAAAAATACTTCGGCCACCGTCCGGCAGAAGCAAAAATTTGCCTCCGCTCCGAACAGCGCCGCTGTCTAGCGTCCATTTTAACCGGAAGTTCCCTGGGTTTTTATACGACGCCTTGGGTTCACATTAAAAAATCTTGGGTTTTTTGAAAATATATGCTTATATTGAAGTGGGCATTTAACTGTCATTCCATATCTTCAGTGGTTTTATATTTTCACTGGCATATCTTTAAACTGAAATAACATTATAATTATATACACGTAACTTGGTTCTAAAACCATATAATTTGGAGTACTATATTATGTTCAAGCGTTTCAAAGCTGATAATGTCTTGTCTGTGAGTGTCATCATTTCTTTCATTGTTTCCTTGATTATTAATATTACTGCCCAAATAAATAAATAAATCTTTTGCTTTATTGCTTTTTCTCTAGCGTTACATCTACTTGATGTGTTATTGGCTTCATAAATATATTTGTCCATTTATTATGTATCTGTAGTCCAGCTGTTTATGCAAGTTTTGCTAAATCATGTTTTTCTTTGCATTGTTCAATAACAAAAGGTATTTTAAAGGAAGTAAATAAATAGGAGAGTTTGATGAAAAAAAAAAAAAAAAACCGGAGGCAAGGATATTTATAGTTCGATGACTTGGCCATAGAGAGCTGACCTGATGGTGCACAATGACAAATCATTAACTTCTGCTATCGGCACGGACAAGATAATGATTACGAATGTTTCCCCAGCGAGAACAGGGCGAGAGGGCGCAGAGGGATTTTGTCATTGAAAAGGGGGCCGGTGGGCAAAAACGTTTAGCAAACACTAACTGTTAAATTGTCAATGAATTTTATACATTTATCTCAAACCGCTAGCCAGACTAAATGTTCCTCGTATGTCTGTTTACTCTAAATTTCCATCAAACGACTTAATTTTGCCTCCATAGCTCTGTCAATATCTATAGTCTGTTCCAAAAGTTGTCCTCAACTTTAAAAATCACTAACTCAGTAATAGTTCGGTGTAAATTGTTGCAATTTGGCACACAACATGTTAATTATCATGTTCTTTTGAGAAAATACTTTTGATTCAAACAAACGTCTACTTGTTATTCTGCCTCATTAGTGGTATATGAAAGGACCGACACCAATTCAATGCATACTATTATAATTTTTTGTAAATAGCAAATGGCTTGGGCGAAGCTGGCAAAATATCAAACTGCGTCAGTTTAGAGGTTGTTCGTGCAAGAAACTAATGCGAGCTTAAGGGGTCACTACACGGCATTTTTCCTAATTTATGACACAAATATCACTTTTTCAATGTGTTCGTTTTTGTAAAGTTCGGCATTCGTACAATAGATGACACAAAAAAATGTATGTCATTTGTAAACAATTTAGCATTAAAAAGTTATTACTAATGACACCACCTCGTGCACTTTTTAAAGATAAAAAAAAAGTTTAAAAGTCAGTTTTCTCAAATCTTTATATTTCAGTTTGCTGTGTGTGTGAAATCCTAAAATCTAAGCTAATATGAAGAGTAGAATCATCAAATTTTGTATGCATACTCCATAAACAATATTACAGTAACTGGTCTATCTAAAAGTAGATTTTAGAAAGTTTTTGTTTCTAAAATTTGATTATTGTCTTATGATGCTAGATTTTTTTGACTTTTTCAATAAACCTACATTTTAAAATTCTACGAAAAATATTTAAAAACATGTTTAAAGTAAAAAAAACTAGACCAGTAACTCTAAATAGGACGAAAGGTCATGGATCTATTATCTATTGTTGAATACCTATGTTTGCTTTTAAAATATAAGGATTCTAAGTACATATTGTTTTTTTCACAAGATGGCGGCTATTGCCATGACAACTATGATTTTTTAACACTTAAAGTATACAAATGTAATAAAATGTATCCCTACAAATGGCCATTATAAAATAACTGCTCTAAGTCTGTAAATAAAAAAATAAAATTTTTTTGCGTAGTGAATAGTAAAAAGGAAATCTCATGTACCGCCATAAATCTAGCTGATTAACTAACAAAAAATACAAAATTTGTGTCGATTACTATACAATCCTTAAAAATCCAATAAATATCAAAAAAATTCGCCGTTGTAAGAAAACAGCAGCACCTGTGCAATTGTACATTATGAAATTATAAGGACATTGGAAATCTATGACCACATGCAACATTTCTTCTTGATCCGTACAGCGGCTTTCGAGATATTTGTTAAAGCTTGATCGCATGTCTTTTGGAACGGACTATAACACTCTTGTAATATTGTCCATAGCTCTTTTAGTCCCAAACAACGCATTCTGTTTTACTGATTATTCCCTACAAGTCTCAAATATCATGCCAAGAGCCTCCATATATTTAAGTTTGGTGAATATATGCTAAATAAATCTGGCGACACCATAGGTGTCTTTAATCCAATTGTTATTCGTACAACAAAGTATATGGTTAGAGTTTTTGTTACATTATTTATTAAAACAAAAATTATATTTGTGGGGGTTGGGTGGGTGGGTGGGGGGGGGGGGGGGGGGGGGGTAGTGAAATATTATGGCACAGAAAGAGTTAACACTGCTGACAGAGAAGTCTGGCGATCTCTCTGACAAACCTCCCAAGGGAAAAGAGAAGCGATAAAGCAAAACAAAGTAACAAGAGTTAACATAGTCTAACGTTCTGAGCTGAGTAACCAATGCACGTATGGTGTGCTGTTTGTTAAAGATTCCGTTATGTAACTGGTGAATATTGTCAGAGTAAATTTGAGAGTGCAGAACCTTAATCTCTCATTCAAGAGAATGTAATCGTCAGTAAAGCTTTGATTTTGTTTTGTATGTCTCTACCTGAAATTAGTAATAAAATCCCTAATCGGCACAGTTCGTGACAAGAATATTAGCACTATTGACTCGAAGTCTTCAGATTCAAAACCCCTTGTTCCATAGAGCGAACCCCCCCCCCCAAGTCTGAAAGGAGTCAACGAAGGAATTTATTCTTTTTCCTCTTCTTCTTCTTCTTCTTCTTCTTCTTCTTCTTCTTCTTCTTCTTCTTCTTCTTCTTCTTCTTCTTCTTCTTCTTCTTCTTCTTCTTCTTCTTCTTCTTCTTTTTCTTCTTCTTCTTCTTCTTCTTCTTCTTCTTCTTCTTCTTCTTCTTCTTCTTCTTCTTCTTCTTCTTCTTCTTCTTCTTCTTCTTCTTCTTCTTCTTCTTCTTCTTCTTCTTCTTCTTCTTCTTCTTCTTCTTCTTCTTCTTCTTCTTCTTCTTCTTCTTCTTCTTCTTCTTCTTCTTCTTCTTCTTCTTCTTCTTCTTCTTCTTCTTCTTCTTCTTCTTCTTCTTCTTCTTCTTCTTCTTCTTCTTCTTCTTCTTCTTCTTCTTCTTCTTCTTCTTCTTCTTCTTCGCATTCCCCGGATACAAACTCCAGCGGGAAAGTTCTGGTTGTTCGTCCACTTCTAGACTCTAGTCCTGTTCCAAAAACTGAGTGTTGCGTGTACATCTGTTTCACAGGTCTGAGTTATTTGCATGCACACTGTGGGTTCCTTGCCTTTCAGGCAGATGTACTTCAAAGAAGGAACGAACGAATGATATATATTTTCTGGGTGGTTAATGTATACATTAAAAAGTACATAATAACAAACACGCACACAAGCATGCAAGCATACAATCATACATACATACACACTCATGCACTTACATACGCGTACACAAATAATATATACATACACGTACATATACGCAACAATCATGTTTATCACACACATACATACACTCTTTGGACAGAGACACCACATACGTACATACTCGTATATATATATATATATGTACACACAAAGCTTCATATACACACCTTTTTACACACAAAGTATTTTCATTAATAAATTCAAACCTTTGGATAGTTACGTGGAGTGGAACAACTAGCTGACTGTGTGACTGAATTATC